ATATATATATTTTATGATACATCAAGCATCTGATTAATAAGTGAAATCGTTAACAAACCTTTCTGCAACCGGGCTTCAAATTCATCAATGACTTGGGAGAGTTTCTCCTCTGGTGAGGTCGGGATCTGGGACACCAAGGTAGAATTACTATTCAGGAACTCCACAGGCTCTGATTGCAAACGGATGTTTGGCAGCCTTTTCGACAGCTGGTGGAAGTGATCACTGTGTGACCTGCATTTCTGCTCCAGGTCACAAAGTTTGACCTTTGACAGAAAGGAGACAGAGCAGAAAGAAGTGTACTGTACTGAGGAAGACAGTGATTTATCATATTTGATTATACAGGTACCAGCCCTCTAAAGTCCTAGTCCTCTTAGTCAATGCTGACTGAACATTGGCCTAATTATAAAATAATTCCTAAGTAAAAATTCTAGAATCTGAGCATATTGTTACAGTTAGAAAATAAGAGTATAGCATCTCAAGGTTTTTCTCAATAGCTACATTTTAATGAAGCTACTGGCATGAAATGACAGTAAGAAAAAAAAATGCATAAATAGTTGCATGTGGGTTTAACAGAAACAAATGTGTGGAAAAGACTGACTCAACAAATTTGCTGCACAAGAAAAGTACTAACTCACTCACTGCAGAGTTTTAATTTCTGTCACGAAACTGTTTGCCTGCCCAGTAGAATCATACTAATGTGACTAATAACATGACCTCACTTGAACTGCACTAATAGAAGCATGAGACCCATTATCACAGCAGGATTTGGGGCAAAAGGAGAAAATTATTTTCTGTAGCGTATTTTAGAAGACTTTAATACAAAGCAGGTCAGTTGACCGATCAAGAAAATGGTCAGCTGAGGGACGTCATTGATACAACATGTCACACTACATGCTTCTAAATGCAAAACAATTAAATATAGTAGGTTTCTAAAGGATGCCAGTTCTAGATTAATGTAATCTTCCAGGATCCGTTTAATAGACGAAGGTACTGGACATTACTCCAAGTTATCAATTTCTTGAACTCGGAAAAATAATTTATAAAACAATTGGTCAAGAATAAACAAAATTCAGAATTTTCTGGCTTTGTTCTTGGGAGCAAAGCATGTTTGCTAAACAAGTTTTACAATTTTAAAGTCTTAAAGCTTGTTTTATTAACATTTATGGTGTGCAACAACAAATTATATTCCAATGTCTCAGTAACACATCTAAGCTCGGAGCGCCACAGAAGGAACGATATGAATGCAGAATGTGCTCAGAGACTCATGAGAGATGGTAAAAACATAACGATGCTAAATACAGGAAGTTGTTCATGTGGTGTCTGTAACCTACAAGTGACTGTAGCTCTTTGGGAAACTTGCAATTAAATTACATGCAGCTAATGGCACCTTCAGTACACCTCAGATTCATTCTCAATTTCAGGTTGGAAGGTTTCGTCTGTTGATTTTTATTGCTAAAATTAAGCTGGGACACTTTTTTCATCAGTCTTACTTCTGCATAAAATACCAAGCCTTTTGGATTTTTAAGTAACCTGCCCTATTATATTGTCAGCGGAGTCATTATGGCGCACTGAAAGCCCTGCGCCTCTGCTGTCAGCAGTTTCTTGTATTTACTTGACAACTAAGAGAGCTTTTGTTAAGCTTTGCTTCCAGCATGGTTTCCATAGCAGTGTTGGTCAGTGAACTGTTTTGTGCCTGATTACAGCTACAAGATGCATTTGCATGAATTATCCCATGGATATTCATGAACCCCAGAGAAGGAAGCTGGGTAGATTTTGCTGATTTCCTAAATGTTCTTGTAGCACCATCAGCAGAAATAATTAATCTTTTTTTTTTTTTTTAAGTCCTTACTTAAATTCCTCCTCCATTTTGGATACTGTTTGAAGACTTTCTTTATAAAGAAAAATGGAGTGGCGAATCCTCAACTTGATTATTATCTGTGAACAATGATTGTTTTTATGTACATATTCAGTAGAATAGACATCGTTTCTAATTGTAGAGAGAATTAAGATGGTTTTTCTTTGGTCTTTAATGTCTTTTCAAGAGTCTTGGAGTGATTTTATAGAAATGCATCTCAGTGGTTTCTCAGTATTAAAACCACATCAATCACAGAAAAAGAAATTAAGCCCTATTTATGAGACATGAGGAGTATTTGTACCTCTAATAACTGTACTGCTTCCTCATGCTGTTGGTCAGTTTGATCCCAGGCCTGCAGCGAACACACAGAAACACATAGTGACAGCTGACACTGTGATCACAGTCTGCAAGGTGGACTAGACATCACACAGCTGACATGCTGCCTACGCGGTACTGTGGACGAGCCTGAAAGAGGCTCACTGGTTCGGCAGAGCTTCGATCGCTGAGTAGCTGCCTGCTCCTGATGGCACCGCTCTAGTGAGGGGTATCTGATCTATTCCTAGGTGTGTTAAAACGTCCGTAAGTAATTTTAAGGAACTTTAAGTTTTTAAATATAAAGAAAAACACATTATGTGACAGAACAAAACATCTGGGATGAGTTAGGAGCTATTCTTGGTTTAACTGCAATCACCAAATTTAAGTTAAGTAAAACCAGAGGAACAGAAAAACCTACACTCTCAGCCACTTTTACTGGCACTCCTGTAAAAGAGCTTGAAATGCTTAAGATGAATTCATCTTTTCCTTTCTCAGATGAGACTAAGATTTGACTTTGAGGCAACTTAATCCAGCTAGGTTTGATAATCTACAAAGAATAAATGTGGAAATACACATTTGGTTAAGAATGGCCATCCCCAAATTGATCCCAACAAGTTAATTATCCACAATTTCTTGGCTTGGCATACCACAGCATACCCAACTCAAGATGAATACTTCTATAAATTAATCCCACCATCAACAAATTCTATATTTGACAACTTGTAGAGTTAGAGATTCTGTGTTCCTGTCAATTACCATATCCAGACTGACACCATTATATCTGAAACTTTAATTTAATTGCAGCAGGCCTGGGGATCCACATAAAGTCCTGTACACATTGTTCTTGAACTAATTTGTGTGTCACATGAAGTTTAGAGTTCAGTGGCTGTTGACTCTGCAAAGCGTTTTGCTGGCGCCACTCTCGGGTTTTGTGTTGTTCCAGCAAACAAACTATAGACAAAAGCTGATTGTTCTGAAATTGATCACTATACAGAATAACAAACTGGTTATTCGCAATGTTCAATGTCATTAACTTCCAAAGCAGGAATGAAAATACATAAAATACTACAGATTGAAAAAATATCAATGTCCCTATTAATCACAGAATCAAGTCACTGAAGCTAAACTTGTATTTGCTATCAAACTGGAGACTGGGCAGCCTTCCGAGATCTTTTTATTTTCTAGTTGAGTGCCATTGACTGTGTGACAGTGAATCAGCAAAAAATGGGCTGCTAATACATCAATAACTGAACAAGTAGCTTTGGCATAAAGTCGCTGCACAAAATCAATATTGGAAAAAGAAAACAAGTTTTCAGTGATTAATTTTCTTCTTTGCCATACCTTTTGTAGCTGATTGATCTCTTTCTGATTGCTGTGAAAGGCCACCAATGCTTGCTCATACTCTGTCTGCAAATGTTGTTTTAGCTGCAAGGCTTCGTGCATATGCTGTGGAGACATAGAGGGAGAGAGGAGTTATGCCATTCAGAGATGGTTCCAAAGATTTACCAAGCAAGACTCTTTCTTCACCGCTAGTTGCAGAAAAGTTGACTTTTCAAGCCGTAGTGGTTATTAAGAAGAGGCTAGTTATGTCACTGACCCCAAACAGTTTTTTCTATCCACTGGCTACAGAGGGATATGTTATTAAAATACTGCCAAAGCACAAACTAGCTGGCATCACATTGTTTTCAATAAAATTCATGAAGCCCCAAAGAGCAAAGTCCAGAGTGTGTTACCCATAAAACCGTACTTGGTCAGTGTGTACGAAAACAATGTGTGTATTTATTGACAGATATTACACTTTAAGCTCTTTAAAACAAGTCAATAAATCCTGGTATTATCTGTGTCTTTGGTTTATTTTTGGTTGGCGGCTGATCTGTACCTACTAACCTGCTGCTACATGATTTGCTTTCTAAGTAATATGAGCAACATACCAGGTGTAGCCATATAGTATGAGACACGACAGTAAAATAATATCACAGTTTATTTATTTACCTAAGCCTTTTAAACCTCAAGTTTCAAACATGGAGCCTTTTCTCTCCTGTAATGGTATGCATCTATTAAACTCCTTATATTAAGAGACTATCAGCTTTTCAGTGTGTGAATGCTGAAGCATTTACACCACAGAGATCCTTCAACATGCACTTGTTAGAATCTTGTGTAATTCTAGTATTCTTACAACCACCAAAATAAGAAGGCACTGCACTGGCTTCGATCTGGGTGACATCATTTATATATTCCTGCACATTCCCCATTGTACTCTGAAATGCTACTGCGGGGAAACATAAAGCAAATAAAGACAGCATTCAGCAGTTTTTTTTTTGTCTTTTGCTGCATTATTTAGCTTTCATCTCTTACATGCCTTCCAGTACGTTTGGAACCGACTCAGACAAAGACGTCTTGCATGGTCATTCAGGCTGATCCTTTATCTACCCTTTGCCAAATTGGCCAAGTCATGTTGACACAGTTTCTCTTCTCACACCAGCAACGATATCTTTCAGAAACCAAGTTAAGGATCATAAGATTTTCCTTCACATTTAGGGAAAATGGCTGAGGAAGCTCGAACATTTAGATTTTTTACCCTCATGTTCTCTCTCATTCTAATAAAAAGAAGAAAAGCTTCTTTACCTCACAGAGTGACTTCAGGGTGTCCTGAACATGCAGTCGCTTGCATAATCAGAACAGCTCTAAGCTGCTGTGGAGCTTTGGTGGAAACAGATTTTTTTTTTTTTTTTTTTTTTTTTTCAAACCTTGCTAATGCCTACATCCTACATTTTTAACAGAAATACATAACGAGAACGTTCACTGATCAGATTGAATTTATGTGAGTAGATTACTGATGTGAATTTTGAACACATGTTCTTATTGTTCCCTTTGCCTCTCTGCTGAATCCTTTCTCACAAACAACGCAGCAAGAAAATGTAAACAAATATAATTTTTAAGGTGGTTACAAGTTAAAGAGAGGCTATGAGTCAATCAAAACCAATTTAGTGCAATCTGTAGCATACTGGCCTTTTTCTTACATGTTGATGTAGATGACGAATGTTGCCTAGTCATCAATATACCTCCTAAACACGCATAGTGATAAAAATATAACCTAATTGGGTTGTTTAAAAAGCTTTTTGTTACCAGATTACATTCGCTTCAAAACAAGATTCATGATGCTTCATCCCAATTAGGTTTAAACAAGGAAAAATTTCAAGTGAGCCATTTTTTTTCCCATGTTGTGTTTCCATCATCTGTGCTTTCTCCACCCACACCGCCCCATGTAATTTTCTCTAAATAGTGTCTTTGTCTCCGTAATCAATGCTAAACGAGAAAGTGACAAACCTTTCATTGCTGTATCACGGAGTAGGTCAGCTTTTCTCATATGGGCACATTTATCTCTCGAATATCCTGACAAACAGACAATCAATGGGAGATGCAGGGAGACGACGATTTGTAACGACAGAGCTGCGCACAGAGCGGCGAGACTGTTTGATTACTATTGGAAGATGGGAACACAATAAAAGAAGAAGCCTCTTCTTGAAGTAAGGTGGGAAATTTTGGGGGGTTTCAACAAAGCCAGAATATTGCAATGCCTTTTCATAATTTGTGCAGTTTGGGAGAGCCCAGGTGATGACATCATAGATTGACAGCCCTTAAGTTAATGATGTCAGGGAAGATGTGAGTTAACGCAACACCTTAAACTCAATGTTTTCTTTTGTGACACCACAGAAAAAAAATCTTCTTTTTTAATGACTATATGCAATTATAAACACCATGGAAATGCCACGCCTGTTCAGGAAGGAGAGAGTTTTTGTTTCCCCACATATGATGATGTAGAACATGTGCAAAATCTCCAGCTTGTGCAAAGCTGTTTAAAATATTCTCAAAGAAACAATGGCATTTAACTAGTAAAATGACATCAGGTTAGCATATAAATGTTCTAGCTATTCTTTTTGACTGCTACCACTATTTGCTCAAATAAACTAAAAGCACCATGTTCACTCACAAATAGCTGAAACCTGTGAATACTTGATAAACCCTTGAAAATACCTGTCACTGCCTATTTTAATTGTTCACACACCAAAAATACCTTAATATGGATTAATATGAACAGCAGAAACCATCTCGCGCAACTCCAGAAGGAAGTCCACACCAAATAATTTTGAGTTATATTCCTTAGAAAATCAGCAAAAAGGTGAATTTATAAATAATGAACTGTGAACATGCAGAGGTCCACTGTAAATTACATGACGAATTTTGGTAAAATGACACAATTTACCCCAGAAGGGGTGTGCATTTATAATGGTTCATTTTAATTCAATTTCTCCAAAAATAATGTCAAGTGCCACCAACTACATTCAGACGGATGCTCGCAGGATTTTTGTATTCATGTTTTTGAAATTCCAGACTTTGTCTGCGGAGTTGAACAGAATGGATTTATTTTATGTTAGATAGTTCAATTGTAAAACCCTATTTAATTTCTTGTGATTTCAATATGTCAAAAGCTTGTCAATAAGACACAGAGTCATACAGCAGGTCTTACCTTTAGCACATGTTCCAGATTTTCGACTCTGGCCTGGAGTTGGCTCCTTTCCTTCTGGGCCTCGTCTTTCTCCCGGCTCACAGTGGCAAACGTTTGTCTCAGCTGGACATAGTCGCATCGCACCTGGAGGGACGCGAATCACAAACAGAGCTCAGATTTTAGACAGGAAAGGATGAGAAATAATTAGAGAAGTCTAAGTCGCAATCTGCAAACCAGAAACTGACAGTTATGAAATGTGACCAACAGATTTGTTTTTAGAATGGAAAAAAAAAAAAAAAAAAAAGAATGTGTGTTTTCTGAATATTGCTTTTGCACCAGATCTATGTTTTAAATTTATAATAAATTACATGTTCTATCTTGTTGGTCTGAGGTTTGATTTTTGAGTTCACAACCTGACGAGAAATTAATCAGGACATTTCCATTTATCCTTGGTGACTTTGAGCTGCAGACTTGAGCACCCAGCGTCTCGCTTTAATGTCAGCCTTGAGCTGGTTCTTCTAAAGGTGGCCTGACAAGATTGAGCTGAGCCACCCATGAGCCATGCAGCCTTCATCTCCTCATTAATTACCAAAAAATTGAGGGGAGCACAATAGATAAGCTCGCACACCTAGAGCGCACAAAATTAGGCAGCTGCAAAGAAAACAAGCTCATTTAATTTGTGGGATTTGTGACAGCGGCGGGAGCTGCTGAAGGGAACTAACTCTTCTGATGCTTGCATGGACAAAAAAAGCAGCAGATTACCATTAATTAGCATTTATTACGATTAATATTATCAATATTTTACATGCTGTTTTTGTTAGAGATACATATTCCAGACACGTCATGCGTATACACAAAAATAATGAGAAAAATGATTGAAGGCGAATAATATTTTGCACTCCTACATGGTGGAATGGTCATATTTCGCACAATGTCAGTGATTCTTAAAATCAAGCGATGGCTCCATACATCTGAAGTATGTTACTGACTGAACTCTTCCACTTTGGTTTTCGTTAAAAGTCCTTTATCATATCACACACTTTTTTCTAGCTATCATTGAGCTCCTCTCGTCAATTTGACCACTTGTCAAACAAAAAAAGCCTAAGACTCCATAGCAAATCTGCGTATTTTCTAAGTAAAATACCGAGAAACAAATACATTTTAAACTCATTCATTAATTGTGAAGTGTACAGGAATCAGTGACATCCAGTTGCACAAACTGCAAGCCGAACCCTTTGAATTCACCACCCACTCACTTCATATAAGGGAGGCATAAAATGCAAAGAGCATGCTCTGAAATCTGTTAAGAACTTTAAACATGCAAAACAATTGCTGCAATCCTCTATTTTATTAAAACTGTCAAAAAAAACAAAAACATTGACATACTGGCTAACCACCAAGTCTATTTTTACAGCTCTCTCAACCACTTACATCACCACCGTCTTAATATCTCAACTATTAATATCTCCTATGACTTTTTCGATAAGAGCGTATCATCCAAACAAGGTTCTACCCGCAGTCATCCCTACAAGCCTCCTACCCTCGCTCCCGCAACAAATCTGGCAGGAAGGAACATGCTTTTAGCCCCGTTTCTATTTTGCTTCCATGCCCACCTTGTCTGTGCACAGATGGCATCATTAATGGAGCAAGAGGTCTAAGCAGGGCTTCCTGGACACATGTCAACAACCCCCCTACACCGCTCCACCCGCATTCTGAAAGTCACTTTTGTTGCCAAAGCATCTATCTCAGTCTGCCACTGTCTCCATTACAAGACTCGTGGTTGTAGCTACAAATCCAGGTGCAGTGGCTGAAGGTTTGGGTCAATGTAAACAAAGATTATTAAGAGAAGAGGGGAAAATAATGACATAAGGAACCCAAACGAGTATTAAATGAAAATGTTTGTAACCTGAGGATGACCCCCACTGGTCCAGTCGTATTGATCTGCGGGAATTACTCTCTTCACTAATCCATTTATAAGGTATTGTGTAAGTCATATGAAGATGCACAACTACCTTGCTAAGACTCTAGAATATGATTCTCGCAGAATGATTAACTTGGAGTAAGATTACCACAATTTCACACCATCAGAAGACATTGTGCACAAATTTAAAGCTAAAATGAACGGCATTTATTTAGCTCTCTTAGCAAAACTAGCGAGGAATAGCAGTTGCTAATTAGGCTAAAAGTCCCAAATAACACATGAATCATGATTTGGCCTACAACAAATGGCTGGTGCAGCTGTATTACTCTGATTTTAGTCTAAATGGGAGGCGTCTTTTTAAAAACATCTCATTCGTTTGACAAGGAAGTAAAAGAAAAAAGATGGGTGACATGAGAAGTTGCACATTTTATCTAAATTATGTTCTGGGCCGTTTTCAGGAGCTTAGTAAAGATTGGACAACAAAAGAAAATGGTTTGTGTCATGAAGTTGGTGATGAAGATCCAGAAAGTGTATTTAACTTTTTAAAGTGGAAAAAGCAGAAACGCAACAATAATCCTTACTGCAGATTAGAAAACTGCATGATTTTTAATTTTGGTTGGGATACACAGATAAGAAAATAATATAGAATAAATACTCGCTCAGTTTAATAGTAGTTTTCAGTTGCAGAATAGCATGCCCTGCTGTTTTTTCCTGTTCTGCTATTTATAAAACAGTCCAAGTGTAAAACCTGCTATTAGCTTGTAAATTAGGCGGGCTATGGATAGCCGGGCTGCAAGCAACATATCTATCTAATAGATATGTTGCTTGCAGCTGCCAAGTGTATTTTAAAACAGCATTACCGTAGCATGAGTGATGGGTGATGCTACTTCATGCTGCAATCCACGAGTCCAGAAATATTTAGCAGTATATTTATTTTTCTATCTTCCCAACTGAATAGGAAATCTGTACTGGTCTTCGTTCAGCCAGCAGACTAGCATAATTTAGTGACATATAGGAAAGTGGCAGCGTTTTATTACTTTGTAAAGCTGGTGAAAGGTCCAGTCACTTTGGCCCTTTTTCTGTTTTTCTTTTTTGTATTATTATTAAAATAACCTTAAACTATTTGACTCCAAAACTGAAAGCTTTATAACCTTGACTTTGTTTCCTTGAGACTAACTCTGCAACAATATATCTTGTCATTATCTTCATAATGATATTAATATTTGTGGTATTTTAATTGCAAAGGACTCCCGGGACAGACATTTGGTAGGATCATATGCATACAAAATGGCAGTAGCATTTGCAGGTACCAGCATTTATATTCATGCTAAAGCTCATATGGAGGATTGGGAACATTGTGATAAAAAAAAAAAAAAAAATGAAAGAAAAGTCTGTGTGAGTTAACAGCAATAAATGCAGTTGTCACAGTAATAAAGTTTGACACTTTGCAACAAAGTATTGCAGTTGCACTTTTTCCTTTTATTGTGCAGTTCTACTTGATACTGGTCCTGGCCCACGCCCGTGTAAAATAACAAATATCTTCCAATTGATGATTTTCTGAGGTGTGTGTACTTGTAGTTTGTAGATTTGTACATAAAATGTGTGAACGTCCCCACCTGCTCATGCTTGGATGCCCTAAGCTGGTGGTTGATCAGCTCTAGGTTCAGACGATTTCTTTCCTGCAAGGCAGCATGGAGCTTCGCTTTCTGGAAAAAGAAGAAGAGCCAGCACCAAGGGAGAAGTTTACCATCTTGTCATATTATCATGGAAAACCTTTTTTTTTTTTTTTTTTTTTGCTCTAATGATTTAATGTCTAACTGTATAATATATGCAAGCCACACAGAGCCACTCCATCTTAAAGTGATTATATAAGCGACAGATGAAAGACTCAGGTTTGTGCCGATCCCTCCCTCCGTCTCCCGCCGTGTTTGTGAGTGTTAATGTGTGTGCATGCAGATAAGCTTTTCTCTAAGATCCTGTCTGGGGTACAAAACACACAGCTGAACGCTGTCACCCTCTATTTGGTATGTGGCACCGACAGTTGAAGAGGAAAGCTAAAAAAGACAAGAAAATTGGAAGAAGAGAACAGGAGAGGAAGGGGTAGGTAGACGGAGGGAAAGAGGTTGACAAAAAAGTGGGGGGGAAAAAATTCTTTAAAGTTAGATATTAGAACCAAAAGACTGACGGCCTGTCAGTCAAAAGTAAACAGGCGCATAAGGCTCTTGAGAGGAAATTAAATTGCAAGGCGTAAAAAAAAGGATTGAGAAGTGTGCAGGACCTGTCTGCTCTTTCCACAGTTCACATTCACAGTCAGAAGTTGTCATGCTGCTGGTGCTGCAGGTACTCAAGCATTATGTAATTATGCCAGACTCAAAGTAGGGCAGCGCTCTCCTCCTCTCGCAGCTATGAGCATTCAAGAGTGATTTCACTGTGACTGACCATATCCTTGCACCTAATGCCACTTCATTCTGCTGATGGTCATTCTCAGCCGTCCACTGTTGAACTGTGCCATTAATGTTAGCCGTCAGCTCTGCTCCCTAATCAAAAGGAGTCAACAACGGCTCGGCATCTTCCTGGCAACACAGACAAATCAAACAAGCAGGACGCACTTTTTAACGTCAATTCATTAAACTTAGAAGTTATCATCCCTAAGGATAAATAGAATAGATTATTAAAATGAAGGTTTTATAGTCTATCCTTATTTATCAGCACCCCAGGTAAAGCTTTCAAATAAATAAAGTTTTAATGCAGCAGCACAACATGGGGAATTCCAGCCTATAATTGGATCACGTTTATTCCAATGTTAGGGGGAAAAAAACACACTTATAGGTACTCCTGCTGTTAAATTTGTACAGCCCTATTTTCTCCTATAATGTGTCTCAAGATTAGAGCACACAGAAAGAGGGATATTTGATCCTTTCCTTTTAGATCGCTTCACTAAAGTGTCCAGACTGCTGGGTCTCCTTCAGTGCTCTCTCCAACATACTCTTGCTGCTGTGAAACAAGATTTTGGTATGGACTCATGAAACAGGGTTGATTTTGTCTTGTAAAAATCAACCCTCAGCTGATCGTTATCCTGCTCAAAGACCATGGGATGATCCATTTTTAGTTTTCCTTATGATTTTTAATTGATTTGTACATGTAAAATGTCCTGATACTTCAGAAGATTTCTTGATGTTCCATAGTTTAAAGGTTTTCAGAGTCTTTGGAAGAGACACCAACCCACAACGTCGTCGATCGTCTCCTGCACTTGAATGGTTTGTTGCTGAAAGCTCGGCATGAGTTTTAAAAAGTACTTCAGTTAAATTTAATTTATAATTATTGTAAGGGGAGTCAATAAGTTAAGCACATGTGATATTGGGGTTTTCCTTACTTAATGAAGGTGGTCTTTTGGCCTGTAAACAGGTAGCGAAAGAGAAGAAGAGATTATAATTTCTAGTCTCACATTATATCTGCACTTCATCACTTAATGAATGTAGAACTATTTCTTTACTCAATCAGTGTTTTTAGTCATTTGCAGGCATTTTAAAACAAAAATGTTTGGAATTAGGCTGTTTTTCAAATAGTTTTTGGATTAGTTGGATTAGCTGAGCCAATTTCCAAGTGGTTATGGTGTAAGAGGGTACCTTTATTAGCTTGGAGATAATTTTTTTTTTAAAAGTATGTCTGATTATATCAACACTTTCTACAAAGATTAATGCATTGAGCTGTTTTTTTTTTTATTTGTCACACAAGAGCTGCAGTGAGCTACAAATTTCATGATGCACTTTTTTTTTTTACATTACTGCAACATGCTCTCTTGAACCCACCTGCGGCAAAAGAGAATCCAATATTTTTCTGCGCAAGAAAAGACGGAGCAGCTCAGGGGCTTTTGATCAAATTTATCAGTATATTTGAGGAGCTCAATAAGCCGGCCGAGACGAGAGAAAAGAAAGAGAGCAATGGGAGGCAGTTGTGCTCATTCCTCTCTTCGTGTGCAGACAGAGACAGCAGGAAAATGCTGAAGAAAGGCAGAATAAAGCCAAAACGTTGGCAAGGGCAGGAAGACACGGAGCACAGCGAGTAAGGCCACGTTCTGCTCTGATTGTATAACTGTCACTGCAACGCAGAGTCACTGCAAACTGCAGAAAATCACACTCAGCTGTAGTAGTAACCACAGCGGATATTGCACCTTTCCCTTTAAGTCTGAGTTAGTGGGTGTGGCAAACCTCGAGCTATCAATCAACCTTCTTGTCTAGTGAAAATAAGTTCAGTTGAGGTTATTTCAGCACACACACACGAAAAAAACAAAAAAAAGTGAACAAAGCACTGGACAAAAGAACCGACCTTTAAAAATCAATTTTTTAAGGGCCGCGAGTATGATGACTGTTTCTGTAGTTCCTCTCACTTCCAGCAAATCACACATTCACAGCTTCACTTAGCACTCTGTAACATCTTGTAAACACACTGTTAGACTGCGAAGCCAAGGGACACACACATTTCTATGCCAATTCAGACCTTCAATATGCACAAATCATCATAGGAATCTGTTTCGAGTATTTAAAGTAGGCGCTAACAAGGGTGTCTCTTTAGGAAAAAGCACAACAGGGACTCCAAGTGAAAATTGTTCTGTGTGAATCTTTGCGTGGTTGAGAAATTTGAGATCGATATGTGCGTTCAGAGAGAGAGAGCACGCAAGCTTAGAGACGTATAAATCAACAGCACTAAGGCCTAATTCACTCTGACAACCTCTGTCTTCCTTCATCTTTCTTCTGCATCTATATGTCTACACACCCTGTGCGGTTCCAGCACGACCGCAATAAGAATTTTACACCCGTAACCGATAAAAAAAACTAAATCTGCTCACAGTGGACAACGTCCAGGAGGTTCTATGCATCTGTGCTCTATTCCGGTCAGCCTTCACACATATATGTGCTTGAGTAACTCCTCAGTAGTTCATTAAAATATGGAGAAATAAATACAAAAAATACCAACCAATAAGACAAAACAGAAAACCAAAGATTAACAACAATGTATTGCTTCTGTATATTTTTTACCGCTGTTTTGAAGCATAAAGTATTTAAAAATTTAATATGATGTATTTCTCATTATTTGTTTCATGTAAATTAAATCTTTCTAAAGAAATGTTACTTATTTCAAATTATGGATATGTTAAGTATATATTAATGATGACTGGAGTATATAGGAATTTTGTTGCATCTTCCCATTATGAGAATGGGACTTTAAGTTTGCTTTGTTTGTAAATATGGGGCAATTCTAAAATACACTAATGTTATTAACCCTGACAGGCTACGTTGTTGGGATGAGGAATTGATAAAGGGTGAAATCCTGCACACGCTCATTTGTGGGATGCCTCCTGATGAGCTTAAATGGGCTTTTTGTGGGTTGGAGATTGCTGCTGTTTCCCCAGGAGGACTGTCATTAATTAGATGTCATATACGAAACATTTTGTTCCAGTTAAGCCGTGAGAGGAAAGACGCAGACAACATCGGCTTTCTTCAGTGTGGGCACAAAGTGAAGCCTCAAACACATATGAAACTTGTGTCCAAATTATAAAAAGCATGAGCTTTGATAGGATCTTGGCAGCTACATGTTGTACTTTTGCACAACAGCCTCTTACCAGAAAGAACATAGAGTGTTTTTACTTTAAGTTAAGCTCAAGTTAAATGGTACATATTTTGACTTTTAACAGAATTTTTAAAGTAAATATATTTAATAAAAATGTATATGTATGTACATAAATAAAAACTTAAGTAAACTTCTGTATCCTAATTTGAACTGCTACATGGTTGAATGGTTTATGACAAAGGACAGTTCATCAGTTTAAATCTCCAACAAATCCCATGTTAGGGACTTTTTTTAACATGTTAATGGAAACAAAATAACCCAAATTAACATGTAGATTTTGGCTGTGATGGGAAAAATTATAATCAGCATTCACTCCCCTGCCAAATGACCCCACAGCAGACAGGGGTATTTATTAGATTCAGCTCTGACAGGCAGCCATGCACAAACAGCACCCACGCACACATGCAAATTATTGTGTGTGTGTGTGTGTGTGTGTGTGTGTGTGTGTGTGTGTGTGTGTGTGCGTATGCGTATGTGTGTGTGTGTGCTGCTTCTCAAGCAGGAGAAGTGGCCAAAGCTGGAAAAAAAGGTTATTAAAACAATAAATTCCTGACTAAAATTTGATCTTACTAAAAAAGTGAAGGAAGAACTCTCGTTGGTTTATCTTATCATAAAAAAATAGCCCTTTCAAAACAGTGTGTTGTACTGAGATCCAGCACAGCATGTACCTTTATAGTAAAACACCAGGACTCATTTATTCTTCTTGTAACAGTCTGCAATACTGCAATATTTCCACCCATTTCCCTTGGGTGGAAATATTAGTTACTGAACATAAATCTAACTCTGTAAGGATGTCTGCAGCCATAAGTATACTGGGAGGATCACTGTTGTTGTGGTAATGGGACTGCAATATAAAAAACATAAATGTTTAATGTATTTGTTAAAGATAAGTAGATAAACGAATAAATAATATCCATATAGACATTGTAAGGTAGAGGGGTGTCGACCTCCATTGGTCAATGGGCAAAAAGCAGGGTACACCCAAACAGGGTCATACTCCATCACACAGAAGCATAAAGACATGGAATAATAAATACACAGAGACTCCTAAAGGGAATGTGGTCATTTCATCTATCAT